CATCGACATTACCATCCGTCTTTTACTTTCAAAATGGCGGCCGAAAAACCTGTTTTGCAATAGATTGTAGCTCCTAAACGAATGTACCGATTTCAATGAAACTTCGCTAAAGTCATTTTATTGAAGCCCTTAAAATTTATCTATATAACATACTTCAACGAAAAGAAGCTGGAAAAAAAGTTACGAGGGATGGTAAAATTTAATTCCAAATAAATCAAAAAGTATACACTTTTTTGTCGTTATTGTATTATGGTTTTTTAAAAGCTCACGGAATTTCCTAAAAAAAAAAAATCGTTAAAATCGGATAATTAGGAGCAAAGATATGGTCTCCAGTTTTTTAATATATTCTACTCTAAATATTATATCCTTTGTTTGATTTTTAAATTTTGAATGTGTCACTGAAGTAATGCTATTTCTTGATCATATTACTAATGATAAAAAAAAAAAGTTTAGTCCAATAATTGGAATCACCTTTTATTTATTTTTCTTTGTAACTAGGAAAGTAATGTTACTTTAGATGTATAGTTGTTTGAAAATAATAAACCATTGTGAAATAATTAACAGCTTTGTAAAATATTGCAGCGTTTTTTTCACACTTAGAACGCTCATTTCACAAATAAAGTGTCATTTATATAACAAGAATATTTTTTCATCACAAACTATTGCCCACGGGATTTAGGTTATTGTCTGCTTAAAATAGATTTTAATGATTTTTTTCTAAAGTTCTGTATTAAAGACCAACTTAAAATTTATCAAAAATGTGTCTATGAATTGAATTATTACATCAAAGATTCCTAAAATTTAGTGGTAAAGTTACGAAAAAAAAACAGACTTTTTAAATCAAAGATAACAAATGAATTGTTACTCTACATTAAGCACATTAATTTTTATTTTATACACATTATTAAGTCTTTGCCGAAACTTAATAAGTATGATGTAATGTTGCAACTAAAAAACTCAATTTTTCATGATCCTCTCAATCTCACTCAATTGTGATGCAAAATCCTTGAAATTGGCTCATTTAAAATAAGAAGAGATGTAAATATTAGACAACAAATAAATAAAGATAGTACAAGTGGAAACTGAAGATTTCTTTAATGTTATTGAAGTTTCGTTGCTAATTGCCGTATTAAAATAATAAGATATTGGTTATTATTTTGTCTGACCTTAGTGAATGAATGGGGTTGAATTCGAGTTTGATAGAAGTGCTGTACGTAACTTATTGTTTCCGTTATATAAGCTGCGAATCGACTCAGGGGTCAGATAATCCTCCTGCAGCATACCCGACCAATAAAAAATGAGGAACTGACTTTTCAAGTCAATTATTCTTTCTGTGGGTAGACCCCCTACCGTACCCCCCCCCCCCTCCTCACGCTATATAAATTGCATATCGTTGTGTTCCTTGTAACTATTTATTTAAAAAAAAGCCAATGTTTCCAAAACTAAAAATGAATGCACTGCCCCAAAACATGACGGACTGGCGACTTTGACTTTAGTTAATTTTTTTGTCACTGAGAATCAGCATTTGGCTTAATTTCGTCATAGTTGGTCTAAACGTCTATGACGTCATAGTTATTAAAGCTGGGTAATCAGAAAATAATAAAACATGAAAAATTGTTAAAAAAAATAATTGGGTTAGGGCACTAGCGGATCCAGGATTTAATTTTTTTGGGGGGGAGAGGGGAGGGGTGTAGTGCTTCAGCCCGAAACATTTTTTTTTTTCATGAAAATAACGATAAGCCCCCCGAAATGGTAAAATATAACCATGTTTTATGGAAAAATATATTAAAAATATATTATCTCTTAATGTATTATTGTTTAAGTAATTACATTTAAAAGGACTTAAGGAATCACTTAAACACCATTTCATATAGATAGTTTTTTTTTTTTAGATCTTTTTTTTCAAAGTAATTACCGTCATTTTTATGAAAAAAAAAAAGCTTTCGGGCTGAAGCCTTCTCCAAAATTAAATCCTGGATCCACTAGTGCTTTGGAAAAACAGAAAGAAACTAATTACCTATATGAAATGGTGTTTAAGTGATTCCTTAAGTCCTTTTAAATGTAATTACACGAACAATAATATCTTAAGAGGTGTATGATTTTGGGAAACCTGGTACATGCTGTATGACCGGGAGCCCTGTTCTTGTGATAGAATAGAATAGAATAGAAAACGATTTTATTCTGGGACGAAGTCCCTTCAGAATAACAAAAAAGTACAAAATTAAAATGTTATATCTGGCCAAATAAAAATAAACATAAAAAGTAAAGATAAAGATAAATCAGTAAAAAAAATATTAGTTTTACATAATGTATACAAAATAAAATAAAAAATCTATATACAAAACTCTTGAACCTTGCCAAGACCCTTAAAACTGTACAATTGTAAAATATAAATACATACTTTTAGAAAAAAAAAAAAAAAAAAGTCGAATCTGCTAATAAGTATTTCAGTTATGAGCTATGTTACACGGTTAGCGGGTATCTGACTGTTTTTGGGACAGGAATTGGAATAGAAGGGTTTTGAATGTAGACAGGGATGAAGAATGCCGAATTTTGATAGGAAGGGAATTCCAAAATTTAACAGAGCGAGCTATGAAGGAGTTTTGGAACGAGGCAGATCGGTGAGAAGGGATGTAAAGGTCGGAAGGTCGAGATCTTGTGGAAAGGGAGTGGACTGAGGATATGAATTGGAGAAGGTTGTAGGCGTAAGAAGGACGATGTTTGTTCATGATATGATAGAGGAATGTACCTAGGAAATATTGTCTTCGAATGGAGGGGAAGAGCCAGTCTGACTCAGTATAGTGGTGAGAGACATGGTAGTATCTCGGGGCACCAATTACAAATCTCACGCAACTGTTCATTAATCTTTTCAGTCTGTCACGGAGCTTCACCGAGAGTCCATCATACACCACACAGCTGTAGTCAAAGTGGGGGAAGATGAGAAAGGAAACCAGGAGTCTACGCGTATGTTGAGGTAGGAGATGGCGTAAGCGATGGAATAATTTGAGGGTAGGAATTGTACGTCGGGGGATGTGAGAAAAATGGTGATTCCAGGAGAGGTTTTGATCAATAAATAGTCCTAAATTTTTGACAGTGGAGTAGAATGAGAGAGGCTGGTCACCAAGGTTTAGTATATCATTTATATATATAAAGAAGAAAATGTTCGATAGAGGAATACTTGTGAATGATGCTACCAATTGTTTGTCAATAATCTCTTTATTTATGTTTCACAAACAATGCAAAGGGGCAACTTGTTCTATTGCGAATTGATATAATAGTTTGACATACAGTTTGAGGGGGGGCCGGTCTAGCGCCTGTGGTCAGCCTTCTCTCTCTCGATTTGCCATTCGTCCAAGCTTTTTGAGTTGTGGTTTATAGTCGAAGGGCTGTAATTCTCATGTTAGCCGCTGGCTGCCTATCTCCAAGCCGGCTGAGTAAGTAGGTAAGCCGTCCGGTTCTGTACTTTTTCCGCTAGTATCTGATGTTGGCAGTAGATAAGGACGTCTTATAGAGGGGGTATGACACGATGAGACCGGGTGCCCTCCGTGTTATTTATATAAGCCAAATAAGAATATAATAATCAATATTATAAACAATAAAATAGTGGATGTAAATTCAACAAAAGGTATTTTTTAAAAATGTTTCCACAAAACATGGTTATATTTTACCATTTTGGGGAGGAGGGGAGGGCTTCAGCACGAAAGTGAACGTGGCTTACGCAATAAGATACACCAATAAAGTAAATTTTTCAACAAAAAAAATTTAAAGTTGAAAATCAAGCGTCGTTTGTAATTAAACGGCCAACTATAACGGAAAATGTGCTAAGATAAAACATCTAGAGAATATATTTCTCTTTCTAAAAAACTGATTGCTTTTTAAAATATTTGAATTAGTTTCGCATAAAATGCAATTAAGCAGCAGAAAAGCGGTACTGGCGTAGGTGCCTCTACCACACCATTCAGTACTCATAAATGGCTTATTTAGTACTATAATAACGTTTTTGGTACATTATATTGGTTTTATTAACGAACAAATATTAATGCAATAATTTAAATATCCAAAAAAATTATTATTTTTTTTTAATTTATTATTATATTTCACTAGGAAAATAATAATTATAAGCTGGAGACAATGACAAAAATACAATCCATGGGATACAAATTTTTTTTCTTAACTTCTAAAGTAACATTTAAATAAAATATAAATAACGAACATTAAATATGTTATAAAATAATTCTGAAATATCTTTAGGTAATACTTTTTTTGCATACTTTACATAATGTTTTAGTTGGGTTATTATCCCTTGGGTCCTCTGGTTGCTGTCAATGACCTTTTTTTCTTCCTTATCTTGCCTTTCCGGCTATACAGAGTATTCTCAGGTGAGGGAAGAGCATGGGGGTTATTACCAGAGTTAAAAGTCTCTAGTACCTGTGTTCCTCACATTGGATGCCATACTTTTCTATTATATTCAATTATATAATAAGCAAAATTAAAAATAAAGAAAAAAGTTAAATTGATGACTCTCTCAACCAACAAAGTGAAATTCCACTTTGGATTTCACTATATAATTACAATATAATAAATCACAGATCTATATATTAAATATTCTTCAGTTCTTCTAGCAGAGAAGTTCTTCAATTTCTTTCAGTGTTTTACCTGTTGTGTCAGGCAAAATAAAAATAACTTGGGTTGAAAATTCAAACATTAAAAAAAGGCCATGCTGTAAGAAATAACTGGAACTAAAAATATAAATACATGGAGATTAATCTTAATCAGTTCATAAACAATGAGATGATGTAGAAAAAAAATTGACAGAAAAATTCTCCGAATTCTTTTCTAGATTATGTGAATTTACTACATGAAAATAATACTTGTGTACAAAGATATGCCTATTGCTTTTGCAAAATTCTAATAATTTAAAAAAAATTGAAACAATATCTGTTTTATGTATGAAACAGATATAAGTATTTTTATCTAATAAATGTATAAAAAAAAGTTGAGGTATAAAATATATCTTGTCAAATTCAGGCACTTATAAAATCTATTCATTCAAAAACAAACAGGAGTAATTTAAAGAAAACAAAAAAACTTTGGGTTTTTCTATATAATTACAATATAATAAATTACAGATCCATATAATAAAGATTCTTCAGTTCTTCTAAGAAAGAAGTTCTTCAATTTCTTGAAGTGTTTTCCCTGTTGTGTCAGGTAGAATGAAAATAGCAAGAGTTGCAAATACAAACATTATAATAGCCAAACTGTAATAAAAAAAATGTTGAGCTTAGTATTATACATTTTTTTATCAATAAGCATTAATTTAGATGTAATGATATTTATATTAAGGAATCAATAGCAATTATTACAAAGGATTAAGCCATTCATGTCTAAGTATAAAGCACAGCGGATCTACGAGGGGGAGGGGGAGGGACTTTAGGGCTGAAACACCCCCAAAATGTTAAATATAACCTTTTTTTATAGAAAAAAATATTAAAACTATCTCTTAAAGTATTATTGTTCATGTAATTACATTCAAAAGGACTTCAAGAATCACTTAAACACCAGGTAGTTAGTTACAATAGGTAGTTAGTTTCCTTCTTTTTTTTTCAAATTAATTATCGTTATATATATGAAAACAAAAGCTTTCGGGCTGAAGCCCTCTCCTCCCCTCTAAAATTAATTCCTGGATCTGCTAGTGGTATATAGTAAAACTAATATTTAAAAAATATACAAGGAGTCTACTCTTAAATTGTAACTAACACAATTTAGAACAACAATTGAAAAAACTGCCCAAATATGGCATTTTTTTCGGGTTAGTATAAATTTATTTCATGAAAAAAATACAAACATAATTTTTTTTTCTTTCATGTATAAAAATATGGCTGTGTATTTTGTATCCAAAATCATAATAACATAAAAAAATAACATCTATTTATTCCTGGACTGTAGATATAGGATGAAAATCTGGGTTTGGAAATGAACTGAGGCGATTTATAGGTAAATCTAGTGTCGGCCTTAGGGCTAGGTAACCTGGACATGGCCTTCTCTTGTTGTTGAAAAATATAAAAAGTAACATTGGAATTAATTTTAGTCTATTAACTAAGAACCTGAATCAGATTTGTATTGATTGGGATAAAATTCAAATATAAAGTAATATATAGCAGTTTGAGAAATTAATAATTTTTTAGAGGAGGAAAGTTTCATGACGTAATTACCTGGGAGTGCCAAACATTGGATAAATCTCAGTGATTTTGAGGCTAATGCGTGGGCAAAACATGTGTTGCCTGGAAACCTTATAAACAGATAACATGATCAAATAAATAGGAGTTCTCATCCTGGTGCCAGTTGAAGGCTTTTAGCTCTAGCATTAACCCCATACACTATTCCATGGCCCGGGAAAAAAACCCATATAGCCTAAAAGATGAGGAAGGGGTGGACAAAAAAAGTAAAAGGAAAAAGTGTTTATAAATGCTTCTTTATATTTTTCTGTTAATTTGTCAGAAATAAGTGGCATATCATGTGTCTCTACTTTGATTTTAGGATGGCTTGGGAGACCAAACAGAAATTTAATCTTGATATATGTACTTGCATATAAACTTGTACCACTACAACCCATGAAGGTTCTGGGGTTCAGTACTATTTAGGGAAAGCACTGTTTCTAGGCCAATGGTTGTGCAAGGAGGTGATTTGACCGAAATCATGCTCAACCGTCAGGTTTTCCCCCTTAGTTAATTTTTGAATTAACGGTACCCACTTTATAGAGGCTGGGTGTGCCCCAGGAGGGTCTTCCGGCCCAGAGTCTCCCCATGGCCAATGAAACATATAAATAAATTTTCTGCCACGAGCCGAGGTTCGAACCTGTGACCTTAGCATTGGAAGCTCAGTACCCTACCACTGACCCCTCCTGTATTTTCATATATATAATAATAATAATACTAATTGGCCCGTGCAAATAATTCTCATAGTGTATTGGCCAGTGAACAGTAGACAATATAATATAGAAATAAGTTAATGCAATGTATTATGTGATATAGGCAATAATTTTCATTTTCTAAGATTAAATCACTGTAGTTCAATCATAATAATATAACAAACCAAACCATGAATATTTTTACTATAGGCGGTATCTTGGCTAATATTGGTCCGTTTTCGATGATTTATTTTTGTTTTGTAGGGAATTTAGTAAACTTTCAAATAATTACGGTCTAATCAAGAAAAAATTGTATATATTTTTAAGTCATTTGAAAATAAAGTTTCTTTTCATTCATAACTTTTTTCCTTAAATTTCGGGAGGATGTTGCTATGATTCATCACTGCTCCATTTAATACCCTTCCATTTGATTCCTCATTCATCAAAATCCATCGTTTCTGAAAGCCAGAAAAGGGATTGTTTCTTCGAAAAATTATTGTATTATACAGGGTGTCCTGTAAGTGGGGGGAAATTTTGATAGAATTTATAGCAGATCTCAAGACCTACAAAGTTCATGATCTCAAAAGTTCTTTATTTTTGCAAGTTTTGATGATTTTTTTTTTTTTATTTTGTAGAGAATTCAGAAAGCTTTCAAATAAATATGGGTATTATCAATAAAAAAATGTGTACTTTTTGAGTCATACGCAAATAAAATACTCATCATACAAATTTATGCAACTTGTTTTCGGGAAAGTATGTTACATACATAAATTATAAAAGTTTCAAGAGGAAGACTTTAGCCAAGTTTCATTGAAATCGTAGAAGCCATATTGGTGCTACAGTCTAAAGCAAATCACGTTTTTTTGCCACCATTTTGAAAGGAAAGGCATGATAATAATGAAACGGATACAAAACCACTTCTAAATATTATTGCGAGGTTGTGTAAAAATGTAAAAGAAATCGGTGAAGAAATTTCGTAGATTAGCCATTTTGAACAAACTACCATTTAAATATTTATTTATATACTATTTCATATTTTTATTTATTGATAACACTAAAGCTCATCAATAGCTATTAAACAAAAAAAAAAAGAAGGAAGAAAATCACTTGAATAATAGAAGAGTAAAAGGGGCTGAACCGTTTTGTGTTTGCCTATTTATATAATGATAAAATATATATTTAGGCAATTATTATTAGAATTCATCTCAGATTATGGAAAAACAAGAAATAAAAGCTTTGCAACAGTTGATTGTAGTCATTTTTGTTGAAAAGAGGAATACTTTTAGGAGAAGGATAGAAAATCATGTCATTTTCTTACACGACTTAAGGTGAATCTCAAGTATTAATAAACCTCAATTTGATTAGTGTGAACTTAAACCTTATTAAACAAGGTAGTTTTCCTAAAAGTAGGGTAACTGTAGTATAGTTGGATGATGATAAAAAAAAAATCGCAAATAATTTATGATATTTTTAAGAACAGAACTTAGCTTAGTTTAGTCCCTCAAACGTCCTCTTTAAACGGTTTTAATAATAAAAAAAATCTCTTTACAAAAAAGAAAATGTTGTCTAGTTTACTAAAAATTGTGTCTAAGGGAACACATTACGGTATAAATCTGAAAATTAATTAAATTTTAGAAGCATAAGATACCCAAAAAAGTCAGTAGAATATCCATAAGCGCTTGCAATGATAGGGAAGATTTCCAAGACACCAAAACCTATAAGTGAGCCAACACAGCCGACCAATCCCATTCCAATTCCTTTAACAGACATAGGCATGAGCTCTGCTACCATTGTGTAGACTAAGGCACCCAATCCTGCAAAAAGAAAAAAAATAATTGGTTTATGTAATTAAGCGTTGATAGAGAACAACTTGTTTCATGATTCCTTCTTAATAAAAATGTCAAATATCCTGAATCGTTAATGATGAACGTTTGAAAAATTTTGTTAATTAATTAATTTAATTTTATCAGGTTTGGGAGCTGGGATTAATAAAATATTGGGCGGGACAGAAGGTTAGAGTAACATAACAGGATTTAATGCATTAAAGGAAAGAGGGAAATAAAATGCCATACATAGAGGAATAGGTCAGTCATTACCTGTAATATAATATTTACCTGTAATTATTACGATAGGATTTATAGAACTTTTTGTAAGTTATTTTTAAGTAAATGACTACAAAATATTGGAGGGACAGAAATTTCCTATGGCTTAGTCAATTTAAATGAATAGAATATCTAAGAAACAGACTTTTAAATAAATTTTTATATTGTTTTTACTTCAATTTGTTGGGTGGCGGGGTGGCTGAATGGGACAAAGTGTGTGCACAGCACCGCGAGTTGCCTGGCAACTGGATAAACAGATTTGAGAAGATTAAAAAGTACGAGTTCACGTCGCGGTACCAGAGAGATTTTAAATTCCCTCACCCCCCGGCCTGGGAATATCCTGTATAGCCTAAAAGGCGAGGTGGGGAAGAAAAAAAAAAACTTCAATTTGTTGTAAAAGTTTATATTTTTTAGTTTTTACATTCAGAAACTCTCTTGGCTACGTTTGCAGATGACTCAGCAATACTAACATCCCACAAAGATTCAACTAAGGCTTCTCAGGTACTTCAAGAATACCTAGACGATATTGCTTGTTGAGCTGAAAAATGGAGCATAAAAATGAAAGAGTCCAAGAACCAATTCGTTTCATTTACACTTCGACATGACTCTTGATCTCAAGTATTTTTTAACAATATGACTGTTCCTAATTCAAAAACAGTGTGGTATTTGAATCTCTACTTAGAAAAACTACTGAAATGAATATACCACATAGAGTGAAAAAGCAAATAACTTAATCAGCGATACGGACTTATTTCTAGGATACTTTACAGATATTCTAAATTATTGGTGACTAATAAATTAACTGTTTAAAAAGTCCTCATTAAACCATTTTGAACATATGGTTTGAAGTTATGGGGAGTCATAAAGACATCAAATATAAAAAGAATTCAATCGTTGCAGTCAAATTTTCTCTGGAAAATTGTAGACAATCCCTTTTATGATTCTAATTTAAATTTACCCACTGACCTTGACATTCCTATTATAACAGCCACAGCCCCTTTAATAATTTTCACGACAGACTGACTCTATATTTAAATCTACTTACTCAAGCTCTTTATACTGCCTAAAATCCATATGATTCCCCAGAAGACTGCTGAGGCTACTTGCTGTGTTATTTCATACTTTTGTGTTATGATGTTATTTCATTTATTTCTTTGAATTTTAGTTTTTTAATTTACTTATATTTTATTTCTTATTACTTATTTATTATTCATATTCTTTTTTTTTTTTTTTCTGTTCTCCTTGATATCATATTTGCTTAATACACTAGTAGATAACAACTTTATCTCAACAAAAATATGTGTATATTACAAATAAAAAAAAATATTTTTAACATATTATTCTTCTGTATCTCTAAAGCAGCTCGCATAAGAAAGCCTTTGCTACCTCCAATTTGGCAGCTTTAATTGTTGAAGATACAGGATTATTTCTTTGACAAATAATAACTAAACATTGAGAATCAAAAAACATTTCCATCTTATAAATAAGTAAAATGAATAGTTATAATAATAATAGTTCTAAATTATAATAAATAGTTCTAATCAGAAAAAAATAGGTTTTCACTGAGAAGATGCTTTATGATGTTGGTACTGTACTTTGATGAAATGTTATAGAGAGGTTTTGTTACTTACCAATGGAATGAGCGAAAGTATTGGCAACAGAAAGAACAATAGCTAGGTAACTGTAGTCGTAGAGATCATAGCCAGCTTTGATGAAGTAAAAGTAAACACCCAGGAATACCTGAAAGTAATTGATATCACATTTGAGAAAAATAATATATAGAATCTAATATGGACTATAAATATCACCAGTAAAATAATACTTACACATGTCAACCCACAGCCAAATGCAGAAATGACAATACCGGCTTTCATACCAATACACTTGTTAATGAACAAAACAGGGAGAAATGAGAATAAGATATTAGCAAAAGTATTTACAACACCAACGTAGCTTGCTGAAAAACTGAGCTCGAAGCTTGTGTAGATGGTCTGAGCGTAGGCACCTTGAACTATCAGGCCGGAAAAATAAGTCATAGAACTTAAGTAAATGCCAAGTCCAATCCCCTTAAAAGCTGCTGGGTGTTTCAATCCTTCCAGCCAGCCGATTGCATTCTCTTCTTTTTGAGTTATTGTTTTCTGGAATAGTCAAATAAATTTATTGAACTTTATATGTAGTACAGACAAAATGTTCTAAAAATTTGAGAATGGTTACAAAAATTAGAGTTTTTTTTTTTTATATGTTGTCTGGGTTCATAAAATGTTGAAAAAAACAAGTTTTCCAATAAACCCACCATCATGCCATCATTTTGAGAAAAACTGCTTTTAAATGTTCTTGTTTATCTCCAAAGTTCTTTTAAAGGATAAGTTAAAAAAAAAAATTACTTTAGATTTTTCTAATGTTTTAATAATTTTTTATACTAAAACAAAATTTATAGCTATAATACATCCCGAGATAGAGCTCTTTAAATCATAGGATTTTTACCCGAAATATGAAAATTTCAAATTCTCAATTTTTATGGTTTGCTAGTAACAAAGAAATGAATACTACGGCAAAGTTTGATGCAATAACTTTTGTATTAGAGGTAAATAAGTGAAGTTTAAGACAAAACTCGTTCTGACCAGTCATATAGGTCACTGAAATACATTTTTTTTTTTAATAAAGGAAAAAATAGTTCTGACATTTTAGCAAATCTTATTACATTCAGCAAAACATTCAGCAAACATTTTAAAAAATCCATTTTCAAAACCGTGTTAATGTATTAACATGTACATATAAATGTATAATTACGTCATGAATAAAATTAAATAAGATTGGTTAGTAGTCATTTGAAGATTTTCAGTTGTAGTTTTCTTAATAAGTTTGACTAAGGATTTTTCTCACTGTTAGGAAAAATTATAGATGAAAAGAAGAACCAATAGATTTTCAAGGAGGCATAGATTTAAAAATTTAACGGACATTCCATCAATTCCAGTGTGATTGGTTTGTGATTTCAATATGTAGGAAATAAGGTCAATAAAAAAAGTAGGTTAAAACTTGGAAGACTGTTGAGGAAAGGGATTTGTAAAGAGAGAGTTTGAGAAGGAGGTGCCATTTTGGTTTAGGATCAGAGGAAAAGGCTTCTTAAAAGTAGTTGGATTTCACTTAATCTTTTGAGTTAGGGTAATAATTCTAAGATTAATTAGTAGTGAGAGAACTCACTATGATTTCCTCCAATTCTTCTTCCAGCTTTTCCCGTGTGCTGTACCCTCTTAACTTTTGCAGAGCCATTTCAGCTTCCTTTTTTCTTCCTTTATTGATGTGGTGGAAAGGAGACTCTGGGACAAAGAAGATGACAAAAGCTATTAGAGCTAAGGCTATTCCAAATATTGATATGGTGGTATAACTGACAGAAGGTCCGACCCAGTACATGATGAGACCTCCGAGTGCGATCATCATTGTACTGGCCGCACCAAGGCGGCCTCTGACTCCAGCCTAGAAAAAAATAAACGTTATCAAGAAATATGATCCTCCCTCTGTAGTTTATTTTGATCAAAAATATAGTAATTTGATCTAAATTTTTGTTAGATTTATTTTTGATTCGTTTTATTTCTCTTTCCATCCTATAATACCTTTTAAGAAATTGAGGTATTTGCACTAGTTCGCTGAAATTTTATTACTTTATATCTTTTGGGATAAAAAAGGATCCCATTTATTAATTATCAATTAATTAACAATTTTATTTAAATTAATTTACTTATTTTATCTGTTTCTGTTGTTAAAATGACTTATGCAAGATCTGGTCAGAATTGTGATGTCTTTCAATCCCATTTTCCGTAACAATGCCTTTTATTTGAGAGACTCTAAGACTGTTTAAAAATCATAGATTTATCATCTTTAAAAATAAAATAAAACTTCATACTTACGAGTGCCACCTCAGATATATAAACTGGGATTCCACTAGTGGCTCCACCAACTCCTAGGCCAGCGATGAGCCTAGCGATATATATTACATAAACGTTCTGAGAGACCAATAATATAATCCAAGAAGTCAGATAAAATGACCATATGATGAATAGAGTCCCTTTCCTGCCGATGGTGTCGAGGCAGAAGGTGGTGATGAAGGGTCCAGGGGCAGCTCCAAAGGATGCTAGTGATGTCACCAGACCTTGCTCATGGGCCGTCAAGTTCAGTTTAGGCAGGATTGGGGAGGACCATCCTGTGACCATGCCAGTCGAGAGGTATATTGTGCTCACTGCAAAACATAACACATAATGAAGTCAGTATTCTTTGAAATTGAACTTTATTTAGTGAAAAAAATTGAGTCTCAAGTAAAAAATTGAGTATATTTAAACAAAAAACTGACAGATGTGGGAATATGTATCAGGGTTGTTAAAAAAAAAGAGTTGGATCATTCATTTGGTAAGTAACAAAAGTTATTTTTTCAAATTATCACACTATGGAAAATATGAGAATTGTTAATAATGGAAAAACAACTTTATTCTGAAACAATATCGTTGAACAAATATCGAATTTGATCAATATATTGACCGTATGTGGGTTAAACAGTACCAATCCCATTTGATTCCATTAAATATTTTTTAGGTATAAATAAAGTTAATATCAATTTTTTGTATGACGAAAAAGCTTTAAATAAGAATTTTCATTGCATTAAAAAAAAATGAAGAATCTTCGTTCAATATTTCATCTTATATTAATATTTATTCTGTGATTCATGTTTACATCTTTATTTTAGGTATACACGTTATCCCATAAAAATATTAAGGGAATTTTCATGGCAATAAAAAAAAAAAAAAAAAAAATATTTTGCTCAATATTTTGCTTTGTTTGATGTTTATAAGTTATCAGTGGCTGAATATGTGTTTTTATCTGATGATTAAATTATTTTCTGCGATCATATCTTAAGTGATATCAATTAGGACTTGAAGTGACGGTTACATTAAATTGTTGTTCTAAACAGGATTTTTATCTGTTCAAAAATAAATAGCGGAAAAAATATTATTTGTGGATGTTTATTATGTTGTTTTTTTATAATGTGATCATTTTTACAATAAATAAAGTGTATGAATATGATCCAACATAGTACTACATTCAAAATTTAACTTAATTTACATTAAATAAATTATTTTTTTTTTTATGATTATCTGCTATTCAAATTGCATGGTTTAAGGGATATTGGAAAGTGAAGATTAATGACTATTTCATATGAAGCCAAAAAAGAAAGGTTAAAATACTAAATTTAGAATACAAAAATGGGGGAGAGGGAAGAAAAAAAATATGAAACCTCCAAAACGCAATTCTTTAATGTCAACTCAATTTACTCTTTAATACCTTTGAAGAGGCTGCAGAGGCATATATAGGGTCTCACAGAAGTAGAAGAGAATATTTAAGAGGGTGATAGTACAACTTAAGTGATACAAAAAAAATTATATAAACAATGGCCTAATTTTCAGCAGGGAATTAGGAAATTCAAGTTTGGTGTTTTTTTAAGTGTCACATTTTTTACTAAATAGGAAGCGGTAACTAATAAACTATTTAATTTAACTAATTAAAAACAAATTTACTGTAAATTATCTTCAAATGAAAGTTGAATTTGACATTGTTCAAAGCATTTAAAAAGGATTTTTGAGCGGATGAACTATGCTAAGTTCTGTTTTTAAAAACATTATGAATTATTTGCAATATTTTATCTCTCTACAACTATACTTCAAAAACTATACCCCACTTTTAGAAAAACTTTCTTGCTTAAGAGGCTTTAAGACCATATTATGTTGAGATTTTTTTAATAGCTTTACCCAGCCACCTGTGGCTTAGCCTGGCAAAATGAAAAAGGAAGAAAATAGAAAGCACATGAGTAGATTAATAGCAAAGGACATCTGTCATTTTTAAAAAGTTGGGAAACAAATTTGTCTGTGAAATGGCTTCTATTTAAACTAATTCTAATGATTTTTTTTCTCATGATTCAAATTGAACATTCATAATCACCTTAGTGAATACGCCGCCATTTATAACCATCAGAAACAGTCTGAGTTGAACTTATAAAACATTAATTAAAAAAACGTATAATAGGATTGACCTACATAAGGAGAATCATATAAATTCTTCAAATGATAATTTCAATTACTATAGTAATTATAAAATTTTCGATTAATCAATAAAAAAAAACAATGCTTGCCGACCTTCGGTAGTGAGGAAGCAAAAGGAAAGGGTGAAGAGAAAGCAGTAAATGTTTAAAACTCTATAACTCTGCAACGAACCATCCGATATAAATGATTTTTTTTTTATTTTGTCAGCAATTCAGAATTCTTTCATATAAATATGGGTATTATCGATAAAAAATTGTGTACTTTTTTAGTTATCGGCAAATAGAATATTGAAGTCATCGTAACATTTTCCAGCTTGTTTTCGGGAAAGTATGTTATACACATAAATTAAATGGGTTTCAAGGGGAAAACTTTAGCCAAATTTCGTTAAAATCGGTAAAGCCGTTTTGGCGCTACAGTTTAGGGCGACACATTTTTTTGCGGCTTTGAACAGAAAAACATTTACATTTTTATTTTTTTTACATATATAAAATTATCGTAAGACAGAAGTACTATGCCAGAAACCTTCCCAGGAGTTTAGGGAACAACTTCCCAAAGTTTCATGGCGATCGGATGAATGGTTTAGTGGACAAAGGACAAACAGACAGACAGATATACATTCATTTTATATATATAGATGAGTTGTGATTCACCTCAAGTTATGTAACAAAAAATGAGGTGCTTCTATATCCTTTCACCTTAAAGGACCCATGTTTTCAGCATATCTGACCAAAATAAATTATTACAAAATTCTAATTTCCATCTTTATATAAAAAGTATATTTATACAATTATGTCTATTGTAATTCTTCTCAGATCATTGAAAAAGAAATTAAAAGTTTGCAATAATTTATTGTGGTCATTTTTTCTGAAAACAAGGCTACTTTTAGGAGACAGAATATCAAAACACCACATTTCTTTATAAATAACTTCAGACGAATATTTCTTAATAAACCCTCAACTTAATTAACCCTCAGCTTGAATTACTGATCAATGATTAAATAAAATGGGTTTAATAAATTTGCTAAATGTTGTGTAACATTTTTTTAAGCAAACGACTCGATTTATTTTTATAAGTTTGATGGCTAAAATTATTCCGTAAGATCCTCTGAATGTTTTGAATCAATTCCATCCCAAAATACTGACCAATGATTAAATAAAATGTGTTTAATCAATTTGGTAAAAGATTTTCTAAGTGAACGGCTGGTTCAATTTTTAAGTTTGATGGTTGGGTGAAATCCCCAGAGTGTTTTGAAACAATGTGAACTAAAAACATTGACGCATTATTGAATAAAATATATTTAATCAATTTTCTAAGAGCTATGTAATGATTTTATAAGCGAACAGGTGGATCGATTTTTAAGTTTGATACTTTAAATTATTCGGTGAGATGCCCTCAGCGTTTTGAAAGTGAAGCTACACGAGTATTATGTTTTGGGTTTGTCCGCTAAAAGGTACGAAATTATTTTTCGAGCGAACGGATGGATCAATTTTTAAGTTTGATGGCTCAAAATATTCATCAAGATCCTTTCACTATTTTCTAGTAACCCACTCCATCGCTTATCTTTAATTATTTGGGCATATTTCTTCTTTAGTGTACTTTGTAGGATCTCTTTTATAATTCTTTTAACTGAATCTGTGGCAAAAGAATTTTATTGGGTCTTTCCAGATGCTATTCTAGCCTCGTTAGTTCCATTGATCCCGCAATGGGTGGTATCCACTGGAAAGTTGATTTTTTTTTCTACTTGTCCAATTACATAGGGCATTTGAGGGTATTTGGATTTATATTGTATCCATTTTGGAGAAGCATGATGGTCGCCTTCGACTCAACAAAGAAAGTAACTTTATGTCTTTTGATTCAACCTATCTCTCAAGGGACAACAGAATGGACTTCATTTCACTTTCAAATTTTTTGGATACAACCGGAGCGGCAAGTTGTAATTCCTTTAAATAGACTCCAGATCCGCTATGTTTGAGTGCTTCCAGTGCAGAACCAACAGTATATAAATGGAGCCATTCTGCTTCAAGTTTTTAGGGATAATGCTTTTATTTCGTAAATTTGTGTTGTGCTCTTAGAATCTTTTTCGCGAAGATGCAGTGCATAACAAATTGACAAGTGTTTGGACAAGATTAAAAGATAGATTTTTTCGTATTGGCATTACAGACCTTTAGCAAATTTTTTACCTCCTTAACCTGCCTCCTCCATCTCTACCTATCTTTGGCTATATTGTTCAAGTTATCAGGGTGCAGCTCTATTGCATCTTTGTTGATTCGAACAATTTATCTTGTTTCTGGTCTAAAGGTAGCCTTTTTCTAACTATTGAGCCATTCATTGTTGTGTAGATACTTTCTTATGAATTGCTCTCACAGACAATATAGAAAAGATAGAATAATAATTAATAAACATTAGAATAATTAATAAATATAAATATAGTAACTGATATATGCTACGTTTTGGGGTGTTTAAATTTATTCTGGATGCCACTGGATAATTATTGATGATAATTATCCAGAAATGTTTAATAAAAAATTAGTAAAATAAATTTGGATCTATAATATATTGATTGGTCCAGAATTAATTAATTGGATTTCTTTTCTCAAAGGCTGGTTTGTGTTTATCATGCTTTCTAATTACACACATTACCTGTGATCATCATGATATAAATAGGTGGCAGAATTAAAATAACTTTTACTAAAAAACTTAATTTATTTCTATGTTTAATAAAGAATATATACAAATTATATTTACAAGAACAAAATACGTGATTCAATGAATTCAATAATTAACTGTGAAGGCATGATTTCAGATGGACTGTTTTGAGAGTTGTATTGCCATGAAATATTCTAACATTGGTAAATTTATTGTTGGGAATAACAATTATCTCTTGTATATGAAGTGGTGTGGTTGGTAGATTTCATTGCTGCATCCGCTGATCCGAGGTCATCTTTTCAAGGCCAGGTCCAAAAACTTCTCCAAGACGCCCATCTGTGTGGTCTATGTAGGGCCAAGGCTTCAGTCCCCAAGCCGGAAGAAAACATCTGACATATCCTCCAGGACGAAAATCCACATAAGACCTCTTTTCTTCCTTCTAGGTAGATTTTATAGAAAATATTCAGGGTAGGGCAAGGATGGTTTCCATTGGTTCTTTACTTCACCCTATTACTCCACAATAACTGGTAACACCCTATAAGGAACCAGTTACTTAGCCCGTTACTAGTTTTTACTCTACTAAAGTACACTAAAGAAGAAATATGCCCAAATAATTAAAGATAAGCGATGGAGTGGGTTACTAGAAAATAGTGACAGGATCTTGATGAATATTTTGAGCCATCAAACTTAAAAATTGATCCACCTGTTCGCTCATAAAATCATTACATAGCTCTTAGAAAATTGATTAAATATATTTTATTCAATAATGCGTCAATGTTTTTAGCTCACATTGTTTCAAAACACCGTGGGGATTTCACCCAACCATCAAAATTAAAAATTGAACCAGCCGTTCACTTAGAAAATCTTTTACCAAATTGATTGAACACATTTTATTTAATCATTGGTCAGTATTTTGGGATGGAATTGATTCAAAACACTCAGAAGATCTTACGGAATAATTTTAGCCATCAAAGTTATAAAAATACCTTCCACTTATTTTTTAATTCTTCAATCCTACTTTCTTAATAGATTTTTCTGTACTTCCGTAGACTCTTCTGTATCTTCCTTCTTTCCCCAACACAAAGGCGTACCACAAGGTAGCGTCTTAAGCCCAATCCTCTATTCTATATACACTTCTGATATCCCTGAGCACCCTAATACCACCATTTATTGCTTTGCTGACGACACTGCTATTCTAACTTCACACAAAAATCCTACTATCGCATCAATTGCCCTACAAAACCATCTTCATGATCTTGAAAAGTGGTACAACTTGGTACATTTCAAACACTACTATACATAACGACTTAAACACCCCAACAGTAAAATCCTACATCCACGACAAATACACTACATTTCATTCTTCAACCCAAAATCACTCCAATCCTCTGGTTCTTTCTATCTCCTGCTCCCTGTTACCTGAGCAACGAAGATTAAGAAGAAAATGGCCAAGAGACCTACTACATCAATAAAAAAAAATCAAGCAATTACACCAAGACAATAAAAATACAACAAATTTTGCTAGATGCAAATTGCATAAAATAAAAAAAAAAAAAATAAATAAAAAAAAAAATTCAGTCGTTTGCTTAAAAAAATGTTACAAAACTTTTAGCAAATTTATTAAACCCATTTTATTTAATCATTGATCAGTAATTCAAGCTGAATTATTCAAAATGCTCAGGGTTTCTCACCGAATAATTTGAGCTAAACTTAAAATCGATCAAGCCCTTCGCTTACATTACTTTTAGAGGACAACCCGAACACATAATTCTCGTGTCTCTTGGCTTAGTCGAGTATAAAAAGTCATTGTTTATTATTATATTTGAGATATGGATAATCCATCATCTCTTCAATCATATCGGATGATTATTATAAGTAAAACGAACATTATTTTAATAAACACTTATTTAATTAGTTTTGATTTCTTTGATGCCGTGGATATATTATTTTAAGACTTACCAGCTAAGACAATCAAATAAATTCTAAGTTGGGACGGTCGGTCCTCTGTTCCCTCCATGGTGGACGACATTCGAATGCCGACACGAGAGTTGTGTCTTCGAGTGTCTGATCCGAGTGGTTATGATACAACCACTTCATTTCATTGTGAGGGCGCCATTAAAAAAATATATTAAATGAATTAAATATACCTAAAATACGGATAAAAATGTCATAATATGTGTAAGTTGTCTAGTCACGGCTATTTAGAAAATTGCAATTGTTTCTTGTTCCAATATTTTAATTAACTGTTGTGAGAGCGAAAATTGCAAAATAAGTTTTCTATACATTTTTAAAATCACTTGAATGTCAATTATAAATATATATCTATGATTTTCCAGATAAGATTCTGTTTTTGTTGTTTTTATCTAAATTTATATTAGATGAATTGACAAGATTTAAAATAAATAACGGTTGCGGTAATTTAATAAAATTCAACCTTGCCACAATCGTATGAGCACTATAGCGTAATAATGCGTTGTTGGTCCTATCATTGTTAAAAATCCAACATGAAGTATATTACACATTTTTGGTGACGGTTATAAGGGTTTCTGTTAATAATAATAAATATAAATATAATTTTTTTTTTTTTATATTTTTAACTAAAACGAGGAATGGAATTAACTGGCTGACTATCTGGAAGGGGGCGACCTAAGGAAAATTCTCTCAACCGCCCAATCTCAATTAGCAGCAAAATCGATACTCTCACACTATTGGGTTTCAAAGTCCTCAGGGGGCATGGAGATATTTTGACCAAACAGCACAGTTTTGGCAAAAAAGTTGGTTATCAATGCCCTAGTTTGAAGTTCCTTCGTGATGATTTTCACAGCATTCCAAGCTCTAAGGATCAAGCTAGAAAGACCGGCATCTACGTACCCACTGAAAGTGATTTACTCCTCATGAAAGAAGAGATCGTGGACCGATAGAAGGTAGCAATGGATCTTCAGTCTTAATGCCATACGCCAGGAGTTTCCGAACGTTTTGGCACATTTAGCGAGAATATCATTTCGTCTCTCCTCCCCAATAATTTGAAGTAAAAATAGTCTGGTGCGAGTAACACACAATTTTCATTTACCGCTTCACTTTGAATAGAAATGATTTTCAGGCAATGTTGGGCTATTATAAAAATTTTTGAAGTGCATTTTAAACGGAGCTAAAGCTTAAAGCTTACGGATCATTATGACCATTAAAATTACAAAAAGTATATTTATTACTTTGACGGTAGACAATTAAAATCTAGTAACTCCATCTGCTTTTCTAAACCACAAAACTTCAGTCTGTGAGCCTTTCAGTTGACAGAATGAATAATTACAATTTCAACCTTTTTGAGTAATGTCATTTTAGTGATATTTCTAGTTGGAAAAGTTGTATCTATACAGACAGTGAGTAAGCTAATCCCAGAGTATAAAAATTTCATTTAATTTTATTGAAAACGTGTGATTTAAATAAATAATGTTTTTTTTGTTTATTTAATGAAATTTACAACTGTATACAAATACAACTAGTAAATATGCGCAAATTATAAATAATGGCATGTACAGGCTTGAAGAGATACTATCCAGTTGTAACGCTCTCTAAATAATTTTAAGTAAGAAGATCACGAGGCCATCTCCTTTTCAGACGCCTAGGAGGATTATCAGGGATCGCGGATGAAGCAAGAGTGGAAACAAGTGGATTTGGATGGGACTGAAGTTTATCATGAAAGGATACATATCTGGCTCGAGCTAAACCAGCGACATATGGTACATAAAGGTCTTTATGAATGGTTTTATTTGTGACAAAGTATGGAGTATTAAGGATTTTACGGAGGATTTTGGATTGCAAGGATTGGATACGATAGGAATTCGATGGTTTGGTGGAGCCCCAAATCTCAAAAATTAAATAATGTTAGATTTCGGAAATTATTGTTTATATTTTTTCGTCTCTCTCTGTTATGCTCTACAACTTTATTTATTTGATATTATTTTTTCTAAAATATCCGCTTTCGAACGATATACATACGTATACATTCTGACTGTTATTTCAGGAAATTCATTATCAACCTGGATAATCATTTTTCTATTTTTCTCCAGTTTCCAATAATCATATTCTTTCAAACTTCATATATAGCATTAATTTTATAGTTTCTGTCAATAAAAGAGAGTTCATTTTTTAAAATTATCCATATTAAAGGTACTTTAGAGGAAGACGTTTATGAACATTGGGCATTTAAGCTCTGTAAAGTGACATCAGTGGGGATAAGACCTAAATGGTATTAAAGACCACTTAATTACACAATGGTACACCGAATTTAATCAAAATCGTCAGAGCCGTTTGTGAGAAAATTGTAAAAATGTGTTTCACCGTTGATATAATGTGGCACTTCCGATTAGCCGATTTTAACGAAAAAGTTGCTGCCGCATCAAAACAATATAAAAACCATAAATACGAAATTTAGGTTTCGTACGACTTTTCGTTTTTGAGCTAGGCTGTTCACATACACACAGAGACATAGACCATTTTTCGGGTCTTGGTTAATTGGACTCAGGTTACCTCAAAACGTATATTTCCGTTGAAAACTCAGATTCGAAAATTTTCACGATTGCAATACATTCCCTTACTATATATTACATATATAGGTAAATTTAAATTCTTATTTATATTCAAACATATAACCTAATCGCCTGCCAAATATTTTGGAGGCTCTTGTCTTGGAGTAATCAGGAAGCCCAATCATTTTATAATGCGTGTAATAATGTAGAGTTCCCAACAATTAATTTCAAACAGGCGCTAGTTACCTATGAATAATATATGAAGGTTCAAATAAACTTTCCTGATAGAAATAAAATATATGTATTTTTTAAATAACAAGGTTAGGAATAAAAATTCCAAAAAATACCAAGCAAACCATCTGTCAACAATGAACATTGTGGAATGGGCGTCTTGTGTTGGGTACAACAATCTTATCAGCTGCTTAAATTAGATTTGTAATACAGGCGGATCTACGAGGGAGGGGGGCTTTCGGGTTGAAGCCTTCCCTCCCCAAAAAGTTAAAATATAATCATGTTTTACAGAAAAAAAAGATTAAAAACTATTTCTTAAAGTATTATTGTTCGTTTAATTACATTTAATAGGACTTCAAGAACCACTAATATTTGGTGAATTATTGTTATATGTATATGAAAAAAAATCTTTCGGGCTGAAGCCCACCCAAAATTAAATCCTGGATTCGCTAGTGATTTGTACTGATTTTTTTTCTAAAGTTCTGTATTAAATATCAACTTAAAATTTATCAATAGTGTGTCAAAATAGATTAAATTATTACAATAAAGATTCCTTATATCTAATGGAAAAGTTATGGAAAAACCAGACTTTTTAAATTAAAGATAACAAATGAATTGTCATTGTTACTCTGCATTAACTATATTTATTTATTTTTTGTAAACATTATTAAATCTTTGCCACACTTAATGGTATGTTGCAATTAAAAAATCAATTTTTTATGAAATGACAAGTTCTTCCACGTAATACTTCAATCGCGATGCAAAGTTCTTGAAATTTGCTCCTTTAAAATACGTAGAGTTGTAAATATTAGGCAACAAATAAATAAAGATAATACGATTGGAAACCGAAGATCCCTTAAATGTTATTGAAGTTCCATGATTAATAGCCGTATTAAAATAATAAGATGTTAGTTATTATGTTGCTAATATTAGTGACTGAATGGGCTTGAATTCCAGTTTGGTAGAAGAAGTGTATGTAACTTATTGTTTCGGTTAGATAAGCTGCGGATCGACTCAGGAGTCAAGTTGTCCTCTTATGGCATACACAGCCAAAATTAGGAACTGAACTTTCTAGTCTGTGAGCCAGATCAACTTACCGTCGATCAATAAATAAAATATGCTAAATATATCATGAGAAGACTTTAAACAGGATCCGGTCGATAATCACGGATCAAAAACATAATGTAAATGCCTTGGAGGATGACCAAAAATCTCAGAGACCAGAAACCGAAATATGTGAGGAACATTAAGAATGAGAGATTGACTTGGATAATAAGATGATTCTGGAGGTATGGTTTGGATACTTCATGAAGCAGTTTAAGGAGCAGCCACTAGGGAATCCAGGATTTAATTTGGGGAGGGGCTTCAGCCTGAAAGCTTTTTTTTTCATAAAAATAACGGTAATTACTTTGGAAAAAAAGAAAGAAACTAACTACCTATATGAAATGTTTAAGTGATTCCAAAAGTCCCTTTAAATGTAATTACACGAACAATAATACTTTAAGAAATAATTGTTTAAGTATTTTTTTCCATAAAACATGGTTATATTTTACCATTTTTTGGGAGGGAGAGACTTCAGTTCCAAACCCCCCCTCCGTAGATCCGCCCATGGGAGCAGCAATGTACTGATTCTCAAGAAGAAAGAAATGAAAGACCATAGGGATAGGAAAATGACTCAATCCAGGAAGTAGAGATGGAGATCGCTATCTCTTGAATAAAATTCGGGAAAGCACCGGGATGAGATCAAGTATCTCCTGAATTCAGTAAGTATGAAGAGAATAAACTCATAAAAGTGCTACAATGTTTCTGGTACAATTCTATTCTAAATAAAATATATGTCACTAGGAAAATAATTATTATAAGCTGGAGATGACAAAAATACAAATCATGACATACAGGGTTTTATTTCTTAACTTCTAAATTAACATATAAGTAAAATATAGATAACAAACACTACATAGGATATATAAAATAATTCTGAAATGTCTTAATGTTATACTTTTTTTGCATACTTTACATAATGTTTCAGTTGAATTTTTACCCCTTGGTCCTCTGGTTGCTCTCAGCCCCCTTTTTTTCTCAGGTCAGGTGAGAGCATGTAGGTTATTACCAGAGTTAAAATGCTCTGGAACTGCCCTTCACATTGGAGGCCATAATTTTCTATTATATTCGATTATATAATAAGAAAAAGTAAAAAAGGTAATTGATGACTATCAACCAACAAAGAGAAATTACACTTTGGATTTCACAATATTATAAATTACAGATCTATATATAAAAGATTCTTCAGTTCT